TATTTTCAAGACTATGTTTCACTCGAAACTCCATAGAACTCTCCTTGAATTGCAACACAAGAGCTAATGTTGGAAGATAAGGAAATACTTGATGATTCCACATCTTGAAGATTCAAGCAAAGACCCGATACACTCACTTAGGGTCCACCAAAGGGGTCACAAGTGGTTAAACTGTAAGACGTACATTAAAAGAAAATCACCCCCAATAGGGCAGCAAGAACAAGAACAAGAAAAATAAAAATAAAAATAAAAATATAATAATAATAATAATAATAACTCCACGGTCGTATGAGTATAACTGTCGACTACACCGTCCATCGCTGCATGACGTTAAACTGCTTAGAGGGCTCTATTGTTGCAGGAGTTTAAATTGTTAACCAACCTTGTTTTTCGAAATATCTTCCTCTTTTCAAAATTTTCACTATATGTCTTGTGTTTTCAAAAACTTTAATTTTTTTGTTAAAATTGTAATCTGTCCCTGCTCCGGGTTCTATTTCAAATCTCCCCCTATCTTCAAAATTTCTAAAACGTCTTTTAAAACGAAGGAGCTTGGACACTCATACATAATAAGTACCACGTTTTTCGTGATTTCCACGTTGTTGTCTCGTTTTTCACTTCGGATTCGAACCGACAAGTCCCTTCCTATAGAAAGCTTTTCCTATAGACAACCTTAAGAAATCCTAAGGACGTCAAAGAAGATGCCAGGGTTAAAAATTTTTGAACTGCAAAACCCCTGAAGTTAAGTGGCATGGCCAAAAAATCCAACTTGAGTTTCAAGCTTGTGTAACTCATCGACATCCCACATAGAAAACTCTAGGAGGAAAAATGCCCTAGGTGGGTGAGCTCGATGAGTGCAATGACTTGGAGGGATAGTTGGTGCGCTCTCTGACCACGTTATCTTAAGAAGAAATCTTTGACGTTCACCTACCCCTCGAAGGACAGGGAACGCCAGAGTGTCTATTTCCTTGCCACTTACCTATCCTTCGAAGGACAAGGAGTACCAAAGAGGGGCAACTGTAGGCACCCCATTTTAAATCTGACAAATTTTGTGGTTTTTTGAACCCTTAAGATCACACTTAACCTAGTAAACCCATTTTTTTGAATAAGTACGTGTCGGTTATATAAGTATATCCTCCCCAGCGGATTTTGACCCCTATAAACCCTCTTTTTGTGGTCATTTGAAGAGAGAGAGATCAACCCTAGGAGAGAGTAGATAGATAAAAAATCTGAGAGACTAGAACCCAAGGGAAGAAAACTGATAGAGATCAGAGAGAAAAAAAGCCAGAGAGAGAGTTACACGAGAGAAGAGAAAAACCTAGAAATTGTTTCAGGAACTCGAAACCTCTTGAGAGAAAAACTAAGTCTAAGAAAACCTAGACCTAGGGCACAACCACCCTAGATCTACCCTTAGGGCACAACCACCTTTCTTCAATCAGAGACTTTATGGTGAACATCCGACTCAGAGAGACAAAAGAGGACCGGTTCTGATACGGGCGAGTCCTAGTAGGCTTGGGAGTCCGGGGCCATCCGGTCCGATTCGGTATCATTTTTTTACTTATTTTTTATTCTTCTTTTATTGTTTTAATTTCATTTTGACCTACTTATTTGCTTTAAAATGGTATTTTCGTGTCTTGGATCATACTGGCTCTACCACAGGTCTGAGAATAGATCTACTCGTTTCTAGGCAGATTTGGCCTCAAATATGAATTCAATTTATCCCACTTTCTTTACCACTCTTTTATTGCATTTTTATTTAGTTTAAAGTGTCAAAATCTAAGAGACGTTCCTCGGAAGATCAGTCAGATTTTCATTGTAAACAAAATGATGGTAAACCCCTTAAAGACGTGAGTCACTTTCAGAGACTTGTGAGTAGATTGATTTATTTGATTGTGCACGGCTAGACATAATGTATGCGGTTAGTCTTGTGAGCTAATTTATGTATGCTCCTAGATCATGTCATATGGAAGTTGTCAATAAAATTCTCAAACATCGGCAAAGGTTTTTGGATGAAGCAAAATGGTCACACTAATACTATTGGCTATTCTAATGTTGACTGGGCATGTCACCCGATTGACAGTTGTCCAATAGTTGCTATTGATCAACATGAATTGCTCAATTGGCATGATATCGAGTTTCCTATTTTATGGTATTATACATGTAATGAGATTTGTTTCAAAAAATGAAAGTTGTAACTCTATAAATCTCTAGTAAACCGGAGTAATCCTATGAATGAGATATTGATTTACTCTTTGTGGATTTAGGCACCATTGTCGAACCACATATATGTCTTCATGATATATCTCTCTATCCCTTTTTATGTCTTTTATTATAAATTCTTCATAAAGTTTATTAAAAAGTATTTTTTTAAACTTTTCTAGCAAATAAATATTTTCTAATCATGTTTTGCTAATGCTGTACTCCCTATAGCCCAACAACCGTTAGCAGGATCTCTAAGATAGAGTTCTACGAGTCATCTTTCGATTAACCTCGTGATCAATTAAAAATAAAAACATGGATTTTGAACAAACAAAACCTTTATTCGACTTACAGTTTCTTGGTCAGGTAATCTAGACAGGAAAATTTGACAAATACTTTTCTTTAAGAGCTCTAGGGTTGTAGGGCACTTATCTCCAATGAAATTTTCAAAGACGAATGTACATCCATGGTCCAGTAAGTTTCAGGTGAATCGGAGAGATTTGCAGCATTTTGAGCAACTAATGCCTTAGGGCACCATGCATCCGAGGAAATTATGACGACCCAGGAATGTCTCGATATATTTCAAGATATTACGACTTTTAAATTTTTCGGGGGGGGGGGTCCAATTACTTGCACAGTGTTGACCCTCAATGTCGTGGATTCTAGAGGATGAGACACATGTGGGGTGTATGAGTATCATCTGAGATTAAATCAGAGTTCATGTTTAGCAATTAATATGATTTATATGGTGTCCTACGAGATCATGTAGCTTGGATGATAGTCAGGTGTGAGCATTAAGGATATTTGAATTGGTCACATGAGTGCAACCCTAGGCGCATTAGTTGCAATGGGATGTATTACTGCAAGTGAAAAAAAATCGACATAGTGTACACCTGAAATATATCCTAGTACTATTTATCATTTATACCGTGGCATGTGAGTCATGCCGCACGTAGTTAATGAGACTACAATTACTTTATAAAGGTGTATAGGATGATGCTTGTTTCGATTTATACCGGGCAAGAAATTGATGGTCACACAGTAACCTTGAGTACCTTAAGACTGTATTAAGAAGTGGAAGCTTGATGTCACTACTTTAGTGTGTCATTCTCTTGATCATATATGATTTAGCAAGACGAGAGTAGAGCTATGAAAATTGAAATTTCAAAGCGGCATGATAATAAGGCTAGAATAACTGACAGTTCTCGCTAATTCTATCTCGCTTTACCCATTTCTATCTCCACCGTATTTTATTTTCTAGAGATTCATTGTATTTAAAACATTTTAGAAGTGCATCTTTTATGTTGCATCCATATGCTATCCAACTAACAAAAATCTATTTTACAGAGTTTTTTTTCAAATTTTTTTTTACAAGAAATACAATTTTTATGGCGAAAGATTTCAAATTTCTGAATCATCAACCATGAGCTATAGAAGAATTAACGGGGATTGAAGCTCTCTCTCTTCCATCAACTGGGTTCCAACTTCTTGCCATCTCCCTCTCCACTGCAACTCGAGACTGGGTCCGTATCCCGCTTCTGCAACTCCATATCCAGCTTCTGCTACAGCTTCATGTTTCATACTCTCCCCATCTCTCTTATTGGCTATTTCATTTTCACCGTTGTTATGAGCCGCATTTCTTTCAAATCTTGCAATTTTCTTTAGTTTCTATATCCTTTCATATCTCTCGCTGCCTTCAAAATTGGAAACAATAAAACCACATTTTAGTACTAAATTGGCTTTTATTTTTCATTTAACACCAAATGGTAAAGACTCCCTATTTTGGGTATGAAAAATCCCTTTCCCAGTGCTCTTTGATTCAGTAAAACCTAATGCATTTTAGCCATCAAATATATTTCCTCGAAATTTGGAATATAATTTCTAAAATTGCTTTTCTATTGCTTGTCAAAGCGAAATAATCATTTTCAGATTGATATTGATAAGTTCGAATGTACTTCGTATTTTTTTATTATTGGTTTTCATCCGTATTGATGCTAACTACGTAGCGATTGAAGATTTGCTCAGTTTCCTTGATTTGTGTTGCTTGCCAGTTTGACACATCTAAGCTTCAATTCCTCAATCTTAAAAATAAATTGGAAGTAAGTATTTACCATTCATTTGAAGTTTGAATACTTTGTACACACTGTGAACTGTGAAGGCTTCTAAAGAGTAAATTGGTTTGCCATTTCTTTGCATTATTAATAGCTTCTGCTGTCATTTGTATTATTGATGCCCTATTTATTATTATTTGTTTCCTTTATACTTCCCATGAAGGCAACATAGATAGGCTTATGAAGCACTTAATCTGTGTTTAGTTACTTGAAATGATCTGTGGTGATTGATCTGTATTTTAGACAGATTTCCAAGGATTTTTTCTCATTTCCTGTCTAATAAATTACTTTGCCTCGGATCATCAATGAGATTATGAGATATTTTGGGATTCGAAGATCTCACATGGATTCGTTTTTCTTTCCTGAATCTCATGCTCGTTTCACATAATTTGTTTGCCTCATCGATTAAAATTAGGATTTTCATAATTTGATAAATATAAAAGCTGAAAGCATGTAAAATTCTTCAGTCGTGTGCCCATAGCATGCACCACACACCATCAATGCTGGTTGCCACAGAACTCCCTAGTGGGAAAAGATTGGGTTGAAATTCAAACACTTTGTCCCATGGAATATAACACAAACATCCGAAATGGGACACGGCACCATACAGTCTTGAAGACGACATCACTCCTAGTAACATGGAAGATGCATGTCGAAGCATTTTTATGCAGTTAACTGTGTCTTTCCAATTTTCAGGTAATGCACCAGGGGGACGTACATGCCTATATAGATGTAAAAAATATATAATTTAGGCGATATGACTGACATATGCCGAACTTACAACGAGCATGCCATAAAGTATTAGAACCAAACTCCCAGGCCAATAAATCTTCTGTACATAAGCATGATCTTATTTAGCTTGTTACTTCATCCTCAAATTACTTCTTCAGACGGGAAAAAAATGACGGCCCAGATGTCATCCAATTGTAATTCAGTTCACCTGGTTTTGCTATCATTTGCCTAGCAAAATAAGTTGTATAAAATGATCAAATCAATAACCTCACATGCGACATATTTATGAGAAATTCAATGAGATGTGTGTGTGTGTGCGTGTGCATTTTTCAATATCAAAACAACCAATTAACAACTGAAATTTTTTAAATTGAAATCACAGATGGCTACCACTCCTGATCAATCAGCATTTCTTCCGTCAATCCAAATTCTTGGAGCTCTTCAGGACTCTGATGCATTAATAGGCTGTACCTGTTAGAAGTAAATAAGAGCATGCATTCAATGTGTGGGTCACTTGCCATAAAAAAAGCATCAGCCACCTTCTGCAATAAAAGATACACACAAATATTCAGACTGGGTTAGCAATTAACTATGTTTGAAATTTATACATGAGTGCAATAGCACCATGGAATGTAGGCAAGGCGAAAGACTATTTATTAACAAGTGAGCCCTTGCATCCAACATGGATTACTGGTCTTCTCTACAATTTCCTTCTTTTTTTGTGTCAAACATTGGAGATAGAAGTTGTAGCAATACCAATATAGATCAGTATTACCTTTTTACAAGGGTGTCAATATGCCCTTATGCACTTGTTACGTGTTTTCTACGATCAGCACTAATGAAACCTTCAATGATTTTTTGACAATAATCACAAATGCATCAATTGTGTACCTTAGGGAGTTCTTGAGCATGGCATCTTGCAAAATTGGACTCCCAATCTGCTAGAACTAGGCAATTTTGCAAACCCCATGTTAACAAATAAAACAAGATTCAATGGCGCTGCTAGCATTTGGTAGAGAATGTGAGCTTGTCCACCTATGACAAAAGTTATTTTTCATCTTCTGCAACAATTCCTAGGCTCCTATGTTTGAGGAAATGCATTAAAGGAGGAGCTCGATGCTAAAGAGTTTTAGTTCTGTTAAACCAACAGTCCTATTGCAACCCCAATCACCCCCACATCCGGCAACCAACATTGGATTGATGCCGAGGGATAAACGTAAAGTCACCTACCTTTAAGGCTTCCCTGAAATGAGAAACTAAAACAAGCCTCCTTAACTGGGCTCATGTCCAATAGGCGCCTCATCTACCAGGCTTGCTTCTAGCTAATTATTAAAATAAAACACTCACATGTTTAAATACGAGCCAAGAGACATTCATATCAAGTTTTGTTGAACGAGAGAGTGAGACAGCATGAAAGATGGAGTTGCACGCTTGGCTGACAGAACACAACTTACACAAGTGACTAAGGAGGACTCTAGACACTCACAAGATTATTTAATGAAATAATGCCGTGCTTCATTTAATTGATTTATATGACTCAAAAGTGATGACCTAGTTCTACAGGACAGCTGTAAGACTAGACATGCTTTAAAGGGCGGAGTGTTCAGCAGTCAAGAAAAAATGTACACACAGAATGGTTATAGCTGAGCTGCTGATGTAAGATGGATGAGTGACAAGACAAGGAAGGATAGAATTCAGAATGAATGCACTTGATGGAATTTAAGGGTAGCTCCAATAGTCGATAAACTGAGGAAAATTAGACTTAGGTGGTCTGATCATGTGTAGCATTGACCTAGAGGGGTGATTTGGTTCAAGGGGAAGGTAATAAAAAGACAAGTGGAAGTTCCCAAAGAGCATGGATGGAAACTGTAAGACAATATATGGTGACTTATGAGGTATGACTGAGGGTATGATCATTGGAACAGCGGAATGGCAGAGTAGGATTCATGTGGGGGAGTCCAAATAGTTGGGATAAGGCTTGGATGAAGATGATATGAATCAAAAGTGAAACCCTTTCAGACAGAACTCTATAAATGTTAGTTATTTCCTCAATATGCCATGTGAACAATCATTTAGTGCCACACTGTTCTGACACTAATAGGCCGTGCCACACGACAAAATCTAATTAATGAAGAACATAGGGAACCTGTATATCTTAACAACCAAAGCAACTTCAGTAATTTCAAGAAATGTGGACCAACAACTTCTGGCTTCATTTGCCTTATGAGATAAATGGATAAGCTAAACCCCAGTTACCTTTCAAAAAAAGAGATGAAAAATAAAAAATACATTAGTCTGATTGAATGTAAGAAAGCATCAATAACTTTCTAAACAGAAAAGAAGCATACACATAAAAACCTACAGAGGTGAAGTACTAAGAGTTAACAATAAACTATAAATATGAAGCTCCACAGATGAATACATGTAAGCACATACCTGCCGCCAAAGCCAGTCTGCATAACAAGCATTCCACCATTGCCAAAATTGTTGAGTCCCTCAAATTGCTCCACGGTCCACTTGTACCATCTCATCAGAAAGACTCGCAATGTCAGCCCGTGTGATACAATTATAAGGTTCATGTTTGGTGTCCTTTCACCAGGTGGCTGAAAACGCCCTATGTCAATATCGCTTCTAAGTGTCTCCCTAAAGCCTACAATAGTAAGTGCAGAACTTTGAGTCACTGAATCATCAAGCCTATACATATATCATTAAAATATTGAAGTTCATAAACATCTATTCACCCAAAAAAAGAAAAAGTTCATAAACATTTTAATTCTCTTGACAGACCTGTTATTCGATCATAGACATCAGCAGCAGACTCTCCATCTGGAAATCGGTAAAAGAAACGGCCATAACGAAGGCGATCAGCTTTTCCAACACGCATTTTTTCCCTGTCCTGAAAATTCCCTTTCATAAAAGGACAAACTTATTCATAAGAAGCTGAACAATTGATTATCCACAAGATTGTAGTTAGTGGTTGGTTTGTGGCTGGAGAAGATACAATGAAGATGTCAAAATCATCGAGCATAAATGATTTACAGCAGAAGAAAGGAACTTGTAATCACAGGTGCATTGAAGATATCAAAATCTCTGTTACAGGTTTGGTGACGTAAGAGATTGGAATTGGAGAACACTTTGAAAAAGAATCATATCATCAAGAAGTTTCAGAATCAAAGCAAAAACTTGCGACAATTTGGGAAAAAAAAGCATAGAATGGAATTGAGCCTGAGCTATGAGCTGAGACCAGCGTTCTAAAACTCGGCCTCAGCCCATGGGCGAGGTGAGTTTTGGGTGAGTTAGTTGTGCATAATATTTTTAAACATAAAAAAAACTGCCCGCCATGAATCGAGCTCCAAACATCTTATAAAGTGGTCTTTTACTATGAGGTGCACTAACCAGCGCACCATTCCTTATTTTGTTGATAAAAGTAGCATTTCTAATAACTATTATTTTTCTTCTTTTCTTTAAAAAAAATGAGCTGGACTCGGGCGAGTTACTTGGACTCGCCTATGTACCTCGCCTCGGCCAGGTCCCGAGTACCTCAGCCAAGTCGATTTTTTGAACTATGGCTGAGACCATGAATGCCATTGCTGTTATTGAGGAAGCAATACAGAGGAGGCAATGAGATGCACTGATGATCTTAGATTAAAGGCGAGGTTTCAGTCCAAGAATTGCCTGAAAATCGGTTGCAGGAGCAGATAAATCACTAGCAAAATTGCCTTTGTATTTGCTGTTGATCCAAGAACCTCAAGAAAAGAGAACATCGCTCATTCTCTGCCTCTCAGTGGCAACAAGAACCACTCCAGCTCCCAACCACAAATCCCCCAGTCCCCATTTTTCTCTCTACTCTAGCACTGAAAACAGGGGGAGAGCAGCGAAGAAGGCCCGCTGATCCTCCTTCCATCCATGAATTTCCTTCTAAAAATTCACTTCACACACGCATGTATGCACACACAAATACAATCTCCACCAAAACTTCATTTCGCTCAAAAAAAAGGAAACGATTAGGCAAAAAGAACATGAATGCAGATGTCGTTAATGAGGGGGCGATGTAGAGGATCAGATGATGTCAGATTTAAGACGAGTTTTGTGGACAAAAGACACGAGAAATGGTGGCTGGCAATGTTGGAATGTAAGACCAGGGAGCCGCTGATGGGGGCTGAATTAATGGTGGTGGCTTTAAAAAAAAGAAACAAGAAAGAGAGAGAGACTCAATTACCGAAATCTTGCTCTCTCAAACGAGGCTCCTCTCTAACTCCTGCAATCCTATGAAGCTCAAATGCCCTTCCCAGACCCTCAAGAGTCTGAAGAGTCCTTCTGTAAGGAGAGACATAGAAGTAAACCTTCCAGTCATCAGCACCATCACTCAATATCATTTCCCTTATCTGCTTCCCCACTTCCTCTGCATCTCTCCACCCCTTCTCAGTAAGACAAATTTTTGGGTCAGGAATTCGAGTATATGCAGATTCATCGACGTTTCCTTCACTCTGACCGTGCCTAACAAGAATTATTCGACGAGGACGAGGGCAAGGGCAAGAGCTCCCCAAAGCGTTGTTCATCTCTGGAAAACGCATCTCCATTTCTGATCTTCCCTTCACTCGAGTTCTTCCTAGAGTGTCTTCGCAACATTTTATTCGAAACGGGACTTGTGTTTTGAAGCAGCGGGCATAATTTGCTTGTTTCAGACGAGAGATTGCCGAATTACTTGAGGAGAATTCATGGGGAAGAAATGGAGATGCTCTAGCAACCATGATTCCAAAGAGAAAGAGAGAGAGAGAGAGAGTAGCTTTTAATGAGCAGCAGATGAGTGGCAACAGGAAGTGTGTCACCTGCTCCGTAATGGAAGAGAGAGAAGCCCACTCGCATAAAAGATAAGACGTTACTGAAGACGCCAATTTTGGTGTTTCTCACCAACAAAACCAACGGTCGTCACTGAGCTTATGAACCTTGACAAAACACGTATATAAATATGTGTAATGATCATATCACACCCTCCCAACGCCCATGTAACATCATTACGCATCTAATATACCCGATTTTAAAAAGAAAAAATGTAACGTCACTACGCATGTAATATTACCGATTTTTAAAAGGAAAAATTTCATATACAACTCTAATTCGTCCTATTTCTTTCTTTTATTAACTTTTTATTATAAAAATTAGTTTCAATAAATTTTTTTATACCATTTTATCTTGAAAACGTTTTTAACACCCTTTTTTCTTTTCACTCATTAAAAAAAAATTATGGGTTGAAATAATATAAAAGATTTATTGAGGCTAATTTTTACGATTAAAAGTCAATAAAAAAAGAGAGATAAGAGATGACGGGGTATGGTGAAATTTCAAAGTTTTTTGATGTCACTTGAAAGAAAAACAGAAAAAGAGCCTACCATGAAATAATACGATAAATTAGAGCTCTATATGAAATTTTCCTTTTTAAAAAAGGGTGGGGTTTGTATAGAGCCTAGCCTCAAAACAACCAACTTAAAACCTACCTTCAAATAGTATCGAGAAATATGGTTTCAATGCCGGAATTCTTTGTGATAGCCTTAAAATATATTTTCATATTTAATTATAAAATTTAAGGCTTAAAAAATAGTGTATATATATGAAAATTTGAAAACCTTGAAAATCAACAATCCAAAAGCATATTACAAAATACACTGTTTCCAAAACTTAAAATCTTTTTTTTTCTCGTCAATGCATCTTGATGTCGAGATGATCAATTTGAAGATATTTGGGCTTCAAAACAACCTCTTCTAGTGAAATTTTCGAGGTAGGCTCAAATATGATTGTTTAGAGCCTTGGATATATATAAACTTTTCCCTTTAAAATATGGATGAAAATCAGGTTGGATGGCAATCTAGGTCGGAGGATCGGCTGGATTTGGCCTTAATTATTTTTAAAAAACAATAAATCCCTAAAAAAATTATTTTTGAGTTTCTAAAAAAGAAATGGAGAATATATTAAAAACTTTAATTATTTTGTAAAAATGCATTAAAATTGAGACTCCGTTTCGTGCCCCAGTGTTTATTGATATTAATTTTGATACTCATTCAGATATTAATTCAAGATACTAATTGCGATATTAAAATTGAGACTTTCTTTCATGTCCGAGCGAAATGTTGATCCTATCCAGATTAGGTATCATCGAAACAGTTCCGAATATACCAATAAAGTAGGATTTGATCGTGTCGCTAAAGGAATCGCTAGGCTGACGTCACAGATCGGTTATTCGCTGCACTGAATCATCGAGCCCGTGAAAATCCCTAACTGAATAGTGCTGAATCACGGTTTGACCTTTTTTGCTTAATTATCGAGCCCAGTGATTGATTGCAGGTTTTTTTGTTGCATTATTGGGCATCAATAAGTGCTTATTGCATTGTGAAAGATAGTATCACATCATTGAAATTATGAAATCGATTTTCCAGCTACGGTTTTTTAAAAACAGTTTCATCCATTTTTTTCCGCGATATTGGCATCTATTTTGAATGATGTTAGAGGGCTTTTGAAGGCACTGGTGTTCTTCAGGAGATCGTGAAGCTTGTTTGCATGATTAACCACTTATTTTAACTTGATTTTTTAAGGAATCGATTTTGAGACCCCGGTTTTTCAAAAACAGTTCACGGCATCTATTTTTTCCGCCATTCTTTCTAGTGCAAACGATATTGGGATCTATTTTGAATGACATTAGAGGGGTTTTGAAGGCAATGGTGTTCTTCAAAAGATCTATTTTGAATGACATTAGAGGGGTTTTGAAGGCAATGGTGTTCTTCAAAAGATCGTGGAGCTCATTTGTGTGATTAAGCAAGTATTGTCGCTTGATTTTTCAATAAATGGTGTTCTTCACACAATCACGAAATCCTTGATTTCCGGTCAAATTAGCTCGATTTAAATCCAATTGAGGTGTGTATTTTGATCCTAAATGTTTCAATTTGTATATCCAGCAGTATCGTGATTTATCATTTCATTTATCTATGTGAATTTTTTTAAAAAAATTCAACATGATTTTCAAGGCAATTTAGAGTTCATCCACCATTTTTCGATTATGGCCTCGATTTTGATCCATTTTCTATAAATTTTGGGGTGTTTTGACACAATTGATTTTCTCCATATGATCATGAAGTTAATTTGTCTGATTGAACATGATTTCTAGGTCGATTTTGCAAGATACATATTGATAAGTTTTAGGGTTTTTTGAGTAATTACTTTTAAATTAATTTGTTGATTAAATTGAGAATTTTGACAAATATATGTTCTGGATACACATGGTATAATAATATACATTTTTTCGATTTTCTTGTAACTATACTCAATTCTATTTCATGAATTTATAATTTTCATGGGAAAAAAACTTGTTTTTTTCAATTTTATCAATTTTTTAATGCAACAAATTTTATGTTCTTGATACACAATTAATTTATTCTTGATACATAAATGAATGTGCGTTCTTGGTACATAATTTATAATTAAATTATTTTGCTGAATAAAATTAGGAATTTTGACAAATATATGTTTTTGTTTATCTCGATATAAGAATACATGTTTTCGATTTTTTTTGTAATTATATTCAATTCTATGTCATGAATTTATAATTATCATGGAAAAAACTTGATTTTTCAATTTGTCAATTTTTTTAATGCAATAAAATGTATGTTCTTGATACATAATTAATTATTCTTGATAGATAAAATGTATGAGTAATGATAGGACCCTCCCCCACTCATATATCTAGGACCCCAAAAGATCACCAATAAATTTGACACAGATCTCTAGATAAGTTATCACATGGGTGTGGCACTTGACTTTTTTAGAGATCTGTGTCGCATTTAATAGTCATCCTTTAGGGTCCTACACATATGGGTGGGGGAGTGTCATATAGGATCATTTTTCAAAATTGTATATATGTTCTTGATACATAATTTATATATGTTCTTGATAGGTAGAATGTATATATGTTTGATAAAATTGATGTATGCTCAACAAAATTAGGGACAAATATATGTTCTTGTTTCTTTCAATATAAGAATACTTTTTTTTTTTCAATTTTTCTTGTAATTATATTCAATTCTATGTAATGAATATATAATTATCATGGGAAAAAAACTTGTATTTTTCAATTTTATCATCAAGTTTTTTAATGTAATAAAATGTATGTTCTTGATACATACTTAAATTATTCTTGACTGGGATATTAGTAAAAAATGTGATGGTCCATGCTCACTTCATAGTATCTTATTCTTATCCTACTATTTGATTTAATGTTGTGTTGAAAATATTCTAATTTGGAGCATGCTAGCTTATTACTCTAGTTTGATTTATGCGAGAGTACTTACTTTTTTATAACAACTAACTTCAAATGTGTAAATTTGAAATTATATTGATATATGGACACCCACCTTAAAACATACATGATCTGTCTTTGACTCCTTGGAGCATGCCATGGTGGTGAAAGACTCATCTAGAACTTGAGGTGGGACTCAACATAGATCGCTGGTTGTAATAAGAACACAACTTCTAAAAGAAAAAACATATTTTGGGTTTGATGCCCAAAGCACAAATGTCATTTGACTAAAGTAATATTAGTGGGTCATGAAAATTCCATGATATTTTCTCAAAAATAAAGAAATGGTAAAATAGTTTTCACAGTCTCGTTGAATATTCATTGTGATTTTTTTACCATTTGCATACTCAACAAGATATCAGGATTTCAAAATCTAAGGATGAACCTGCATAGCAACATGGGGTCAGAGTTGATCCAAATAAGAAAGGCAACGTAATATATAATTATTGCCACTAGTGGCATAAACCGGTTCAAACAACATTTGGTAGGGGTTAAGAGGGAGGTCATTCGATGCAACCATATACATGCCGACGTTAGGAGACAAATGGCAGCTCTCCTCAAGACTTATAAGGGTAAGAAGATAGCTAGAGAGAAGTTGAATGAGGAGATCACCAACTTATATATGTCATCAGGTGCGGTGGATCCAGACAGCAATTCGACCACGACATGGAGATTGCAATGAGAGCCAGCTTAGAAGAATTGCACCAGTGGGAGAGTGAGATGGATATGTACAGAGGCCCCCGTCTGAGCGTGCATGGAGGGCTCGATTTGAGCATGTATGGAGCGCCCGCCTCGAGCATGTATGGAGGGCCTGCTCAGAGCATATATAGAGGGCCCAACCCGAGCATGTATTGGAGGGCCCAGCCTAAACATGTATGGAGGGCCTAGCAGAGGGGCACCTGGTGTCAGTTCCACAACAGAAGGGTCATTAGGGGCAACCTCGTCCCACGATGTAGAGGATGTTACTCATGTCATGGCTAGCATGAGAGGAGCATTGTAAGGACCTGGACCATCCCGGCCGATTGAGTGCACGACGGGATAAGTAGAGTGTGGGCCGTGCGGCGATAGAGGGAAAGAAGAGTCGCGTGGCAATGGGTCGCGCAGCAATGTGAGTCGAGCGGCGATAGGTCTCGCGGCGATGATGTTCATGGCAGGTAAGCGCTGGAGAGGCTCGAGGCGGTAGGCGCGTGGTGATAAGAGCGCGCGGCGAAGTGAAGGACGCGCGACGCAACGAAAGGAAGAAGCGTGTGGCGAAGTGAAGGGCGCACGACACAAGCAAGTGGTAACGCCGCGCGAAGAGTGGGCTATCACCGACTGGTCACTACCGCCCGTGTTTCTGGCATGCTTGAGGTGGGAGTGCCACTTGGAGAGTGCATGCTGACTTTAGCCACTTGCCCAGATTTTTAAGCCTTTTGGCGCCACTAGGACAGCTACCCTACCTTCAAGAGTACTTAACCCTCTTCTCTAACCCACGAGACTCATTTTTCCGCCATTTCTCTCTCTTTTGCTAAGGTAAGGTTTGAAGAAGTGACTGTTGGTAGGCAGCCATTGTTGGGCAGGTGAGAGCTGTGAGAAGAGAAGTGGAG